AGTCTGCCATTTATCCCCAATTTGTTTTTGCTCCCAATCTGAAGCTTTTACAGTAGGACTGTATGTCTACACGTGCATTTAAACACACCTACATTTTTAAGGTGCATTATCTTAATTCACATTAAGTGGCTATAAGCAGGCATCTATGCATGCAGGTGTTAAAACTCATTAATGTTGTATGTGGACTGATTTGGGATTAAAGTTAATCCTAAATCAGTCCACACACACAGCATTGACACCCTTTAACACATCTACATGTTTATTAATGCACTTTAACTATTTACGCCTAAATATGATATCTGCATTTGCAGGTATAACATGTAGGTGCAAATAGCCTAAATTGCCATTTTTAAAATGCATTAAGGGCATGCACGTGTAGACACACACCCTAATGCACCTTAAATTTAGGCTAATGCCCCTTAAAGTGAATTTTACCTTCTAGTTTCACATTTTAAATTATTTATTGCTATTGAAATGACCTCAGATTCCCATAGATGTGAGAGCAAAATCAAGTCCAGAATCAGAGCAAAATCAGGTTTGGATGCTGTATGATGTGAAATTCAGGATAGTAGAAGTCATATAAAGGGGAGGACTAAAGTGGGGTAGGAGCAGGGAGTGGGACTGGAAAAAATGTGCTGGCATTATATCCAAAAGAAGCAATTCAGGATTCCCATGCATTTTTAATAATGCATTCTTAAAAGTGGGAATACATTTAATTACTTCCCAGTTTCTTTGTTTGTTTTTCAAATACTGATTTTGTTTTCAGTGGAGTTAAAATGAGCATGGCTATTTCTTGTTGAATAAAAACAATCTTTCCTTTATAATATAAGAATGATCGGATCATGCCAAAATATTGGTATAGAAAAGCACTATGTGTACAAAGTTCTGTGTATAGATTTCATTAATAATTGCTGCACAGTCAGCACATGGAGCAATATTGTCACTGGGGCTAGGTACAGATATTCAAAAAGCCTGAGGGAGATTGAAGCTAGCTTGTGTGGGTTTCTCTAAGCAGATAGGTTAGTTCAGGAGTGAACAGAACATAAGTTCATTCACCCTTTGGTTGTGGGGGCATGCAGGTCACCTACACTGGCGGAGGCCAGCAGGCTGGGGGAACTCCCACAGACCTTCCAACAAGCTACCAGAGAATGGTGAGCCCAGCCAGCAGCAGGCCCCCCTTGACTGGCTACCATGTCCCCCCACCCCAGCCCTGCCTCCTGCCAGTGACCTGTTGTCAGCCATGGTGGGTGGAAGAGTAGAGCGCCCCCCCCCCCCAGCTGTGCTGCTTCAGACCACATCAGCTCTTATCAGCAGCTGGAATAGGGTGGGGGCAACAGAGATTTATCCCATCCCCCCAGACAGAGACACCAGCATTCTCCCCTGCCCCCTGCCTGGCTGTGGTTGTATCTGTGTCCCTAAATGACAGAGCAGCAAGGGAAAGGGGGACTGCTCCCCCTCTGCCAGGCAGCCTGCTGGGAGGTGTGCAGGAGTGCCCCAATCTGCTGGCCTTGGCCAGTACATGCAGTCTGTGTGCCTCCCCCCACCAAAGGGCTAACTTCTGTTCTGTTTTTCAGGCACAGGAGGAGCAGTCCCACCTCCCCTTGCTTCTCTCTTGTGCAGGAACACAGATGCCAGGATTTGCTCCTCCCAGCACCTTCTCCCCCCCCCTCCCCACACGTCCTGCCCCCACCGCTGACGACAGCTGGACAAAGGCAGGAAGGAAGAAGGCTGGGGATATCGCCGGCCAAGTTCCAGCATGCTATCTTGTGAGGGGCCTGCAATGCCTGTGACCTGTAGGGACCTGCAAAGCAGCCTGAGATGCTGGAGGACAATGACCTAACTTGAATAGGGAGGGAGGTACAGAAGTTCAATAGACTGGTTTAACCTAAATCACTTAAGTCAGATACAACAATGACCCAAGTCTATCTTAGACTGGGTTCTGCCATTTTTAAACCAGTCTATGTCTGCTGAACTTCTGTTGTGTTACAGGTTTAGACTGGTTTCTGATTACTTTTAACAGTTTATGTGTAATATCTGTACCAGGCCTGGAAGCCCTAATAAGTAGTGAAAGTGTGGTTTTGTTATGTGTATGTGTGTGTATGTTTTCCTATCAAAGTCAATGTGTGTAAAAAATATATTCAAGATTTAAATATTTAGATGTCAGATTTTCTGCCTTATGTCTGCCCATTTCTACTTGTGAGCACTTTAAAAGAACTGGCATGTTCAAATCAGTACCAAGGAGTCTTTTCAGGTCACATGGTCCAGCCACTGATTCTCATTACATAGCCCATTGACTAGTCCAACTTTACCTATATAAAAGGACAATCAAATATGCCTTCTATTTACCATAAAGAAATGTGCTTAATACATTAAACTTCATTAAGGCCTGTGATTTAGCTATAGTACCCCTTAACTTTCAAGCATAATTATATTATAGAAACTGACAAGACTATATATTTGTTCATCTAATATTATTTCAAGGTCTTAAATTCAAACTTCTTCAAGTGCAAGATTCCCTTTGGATGCTATGGGGACACTTGCAACAGTTCTGATGTAGTGAAGTAATTTCCATGAAATAACATGGTCAAGTTTTGAGATGAGGGAACCAGGTAGAGATGCAACAGGGAACTCCACCATGGGTTTGTGTAACTGCAGGTGTGATTTTATAATACACAGGCGTACCCAAAGGAGCTTTAATCTAGCTAGCATGGATATCAATTGCAGTGAAGATTTGTCAAAGCAGGCTTCTCTATGAACTAGCACCCAAAGTGAGTCCCCAGAGACTACATGGGGGCGTCTTTTTGTTATTATTTTCTCAGATTTTGTTTGTGAATAATACCATATACCACATGCATCTCCCCCCACTCCCAGTTGAGCCCTCCAGAATTGGGGTGCATGTTTTAAGCAGGGAAGCTGATTTTTCTTCACTGAAGTAGAACGAGGGAGATGCTGTCTTCTATAAATTGCCAAAATAGCTGTCACTTCTTTCTGGTTCAGACAGCAGCAAGAGCAGAGTCCAGCATTAACCCTCTCACAGTGGCTACTTCTGGAGTCCTAAAGCAGCAAGTGAGTTGGGCCAAGGCAAGTGAGTTGCTTCATGCAGTCTGCAGTATTTTGATGAAGCTTATGGTATGGAAACAACACTTTATTATTGATAGGAACTTATATAAAGAACTGTTTACAGTAAAGAAGTAACAGTCTTGCTTCTTGCAAGGGTCAAGGGCTAGTTATGTTGCTATTCTGCTTCCCCAAGAAGTCCCTACTACTTCACCTAGACCAGGATTGTCCAACATATGGCCCACGGGCTGCCATGCAGCCCGCCAAGCCATTTTCTAAGGCCCGCAGTGCTGCAATGGGAAAGGAAAGTAAACACTGTTTACTTTCGTTCCCGCCCCTTGTCCCTCCCCCAGCCCCTCAGCAGCTAATGGCTGCTGAAGGGCTGGGGGAGGGACAAGGTTCCCACATGCATCGCGTGAGGTTTATGTTGCCGACGTGGTACAGCTCCTCCCCTCCCCCCTCATTTCACGGTGTCCCTTCCTTGCCCCACCCCTCCCTTCCTCATTCACATGCCAGCTCCTCCCCTCTCCCACACTGCAGGGTTTCCGTTCCTATCCCTGCCCCTGCCTTCCTCATTTGCATGCTGGCCCCGCCCTGCGCCAGTCCCCGCTGGCCACAAACGCTGGAGCAGGTCGCGGTGCAGCATGCAGGAAGGTGCAGGGGGTGCGGATGCTGGTTCGGAAGGATGCTGAAGCCGGGCCTATGGGAGATGCTGCTGCCGCTGCTGCTGTGGCTGTCAGGGCGGGAAGCCGGCACCGCTCCCACCTCCCCACATCCCTCTGCACCCACAGACATTGCGCTGGGGGTGGTGAGTCATGGGCCCCAGGGAGGGAGGGGCCCCTGCTTCTTGGGCTTGGGCTCGGGCTGCCCTGGGGGAGAGGGAGTAGGGGGGTATGCCTGCTCATCTTGCACCCCCCTGTAGAGTCCCCACATGTCCCCCTGGCTGCTGAGCCCAGGAGCGCAGGTGTGGGAGCATCCTCAAGGCCAGCCAGGTGGCAGGGAGGACACGGCGGGGTCAGGCTCCTTGACCCCTGTGCCCCTAGGCTGTGGCCAGATTGGACAGGCTATGTGAGCGCCTGCTCCTGCCAGGCCACTGGGTGATAAAAAGTTCATGATCTGGCCCCACATTCAAAAAGGTTGGACACCCCTGACCTAGACTTTCTAGGGATGCCATGCTTCCCTAGATATAGTAAGATGACTTCCTATATGTCACACAGTAGGCCATGACTCTGGGAAAAAGCTTCCAAAAACAAAGTGCATGTCTTACTTGGAGGTGTGTGGCATGTGAGAAAATAGGGTAAACTGTGCCCTTAAGCAACAGGAAAAAAAGCTGGACCTGATACTGATTTTTTCCTGAACTGGTGACTGAACCTACTAATTTACTTTTGCTTCTCAGTCCTTATTTGTCACTGAGAATCTAGGCAAGAGGTTAGGTCTACAACTAAAACTCACTACGGACATGACAATCTTCAGCACTGCCTTACAGTGGCTTCACAGTTCTGATCTTCTCCTGTATTTAATATTGCAATTATCTATTAATTGCCCTGCCTTTCTGTTCTGTGTCAAAATTGCAGTATTTCAAAGTATCACATCAAAGGACAGCCAGACTCTTGAGTAGCTACTCATTTGAAGCTATTTATGTGCTAGTCTCTGAAGTTTATTCACACAATGAAGTCCTGTTATTTTTCTGCATCAAATCATATATTGGCAGAAAAAATTATGGACCTGGCAAAAAGCATGCGAGAGTCTACTGAAGTCATAAAAGGGGGGTGTCAAAATAGCTTTACTTGTTGCTTTTTATATCATTCTCATTCACTGCTGTTAATATAATAAAAATGTTTTGCACTTTGCCTAACGTTCTCAACACATTATTAATATTGAATTAAGTCCCACAACACCTTCATATATTTTATCCAAGTATGTAATATTCACGTTGTACTCACACTTTCTGTACTTCTCTTTCTTCCCATAGGGATGGAGAATGTCTCAAAGGGTTAGTGTCTCTGCATGTTGCAGTGAATCTCCTTGCTGGACCCAGTTATACCAGTATAGAGGCAACATTTAGCTGGGAGAGAGGGAGCAGCGGGGGAAGAGGAGAGGGACACAGAAAGGAATTAGATTAAAAAAATACCCATGCACTGGATGCAAAGAGACTGCACACTATCCTACCCAATAAGGCAAAATGAAAAGAAAATGTATACAAGAAACTTCATTGCATTCTTCAAAAAGTCATTTTCATTAGAAAACTGAAAACAAATCACTTGAAAACCAGTTGTTTTTCTGTTAATTTTGAGGGCAGGGAGGTCAGCAAAACAACAAATACATCCTATAGGAATCACTCTCTTGCTTCCCAATAAGTAATTTTGGCACAAAACTTAGAAGTTTCATCAACAAGAGAGGATGGACCTGACAAAAATCAATCAATAGGAAAATGCTAGACAATAGAAATAAACCTTGGAAATCTGATTTCCAGTCCAGTGCCAGGACCACTTCTCTATTCCTAACAAAAGGCAAATATCATCAAGCAGCATTCTAGAAAACTGGGTTTAAATGATTAGCCAGGTCAAAAAGCTGTCACTTACTGTGAAACTGAGCAACATTTAAAAATATATACCTACCTTGCCTTCTATGGAGCTAGAAAGAAAATTTGAAAATAAATTATTCTAACCCCCAGCTCTCCATATCTTGATGACAATTGTAAAGTAACACAGCAAAGAAATGTTGTCAGCAGGAGAGAAAATTACATGAACACAACTGTTTGAATTTCTTTCTAAACTTTGACAGAGCCACACAGTTCATTCAGTAAAAATAGTATGTTACTAGTCACCTGACTTGACTTACCAGGTTCTTTGCCCTGATATCTGTGCCAGGTAAAACAGAAATTGCTGATACTGCTGCTTCACCCCTCTGGTATGTTCCTGGTTTGGAGAAAACAGTTCATTCCAGTGCAATCGAGAGGCAGTCAGGCTGGAAAGAGCAGCAGGAGAGGTTGGTGCTCCTTCTTTTGCTTAATAATCTGTTTCTGTAAATCCAAGCTAAAAGCACAGATGTGGGTGTCAATTGGGAGCTGGGAGTAGGAGGCCTAAAGAAACAAGTGAGAAGATAACGTTGTCATTTCTTATTTCTTAATATTGAGCATTTAAAGTGCTAAGAAAGCACCAGCTGCAGCCACAGACAGCAGGAATAGGAGCTGAATAATCTTCCCCCTTCATTACAGTGTAATTGAGGACTGATTTGAGGCCTTCTGCATTGGGAGCCTGATCCAGAGCCCACGACCATCAGTTCCAAGACTGTCACTAACTTAAATATTACCCCTAACTTTAAAGTGCCCTAAGCAAAGGACAGATCATGCCAAACTGGGGGTGGTTTTGTGGTATGGGCCAATTTACACTAAAGATTTGAAAGCCCACAAGGGCAAATCCTGCCCTATTCTATGAACAATATGAAGGGGATGAGAAAAAGCTATCTAACTGGGAATCTGGTGATCTACTTAAGTGGGCACACCTCCAAACAGCATAAAGCCAAAGTAAGCAGTTATAGTTCTCCCCTTAATGTTTCCCCTTCTATACCACTTTCTCCCTAGAATTGGATCTGCAGGATGGTGTACCAGGGGAATGAAGTGTATGGCAGAAATCCCTAGGCTTTATGGCCTCTAGAGCGGGAGCATTTAAATCTGATGGCAGGCATTAGAGTGCCTGCCCTTGGTTCTACTGGCAGATGAAAGGACTTGGAAAGCCTTATATCCTATTTACCAGTTAGAGTTTGGGAATACCTAGGGATCCTGGAACACCTTGTGAAAGAGAGGAAATCAACTGAGCTGCCTAGTACCTAATGTCATGTGCACCGGGGCAGTACAAAACAGAAATTAGCATGGGAACTGGCAATGTTGCAAAAGGCAAAGAAATGTAAAGATTTGGCATTTAAAGATACCAAGGTCAAAGAAAAGCAACAGCTCTTAAGATGGCGCAGTTACGTTTCAATGTAGAACTAGCATTAGATTTGACAACCTGAGATAAAAGCTTCTCTGAGTAAAGATGAAGGACATATACTTTAGAAGAGGATCGAAACTTTTCCTTTTTCTTCATCTGAGTACTGTGTTAATAAGAAGTTAAAGTGGAATTAGTTTGAGTCTATTTTAAGTGTCAAGTAATAGCACTTTACATCCCTTAGCTTTTTATTTGGATTGTTTTCTTTCAGCTATCAACAATATCAAGCTATCATTTTTGCACTTAAAATTATACTCCATGCTGCAGCTATTTCTCTCCAGCTAATAATGCTGTCAAATGTTCCTTGTATGGTGCATGTTATAAACAAAAGGAATCGAACAAACACTTGTCAGTTGATTTCCTACTATTCTACTCGCATATATTGGTTAGCAGTGCTATTGATATTTTCAGCTTATTCTTCTTTGAACTGCATGTGTTCCACCAAATTAGCACATCATGGGCTCTTGAGCTTACCATAATTTAATATTATGGTGCCCTTTATGTTGTGCTTGCATATTAGTCTTCATTTACATTTAGTAGGGGGTGGGAATTGTGTTGAGGATGTGTTTAAATCCTTTGTGTGTGAGGTAGAGGTTGGTTACTGCTAATCTTTAGTCACAGCTCATCAAGGCTTTGCTTGGTGTCCTGGAGCTTTCACAGTTACTAATTATAGTTATTAATTCATGTTCCTGACACTTTACTGCTAGGAGATGAAAATTCATGGAAAAGCCATTTCTTCTTCTTGAGTTTTTTTCACCCCTCCTGTGATGCATTCAGCTTATTCCCTCTCTTCCAATATTTTACCCCCTCTTCCATCAAACCCCCAAAGCAATTTACAGTTGTGTTAGGCTTTGCTGTAAAGAAAAACCAACCAAAACCCCCAAACAGTATTGTATAGGCATCCACAAAGGATATCTGGCAGACTTGAGACTGAAGTGTGCTACAGACTAGGCTAACCTTTATGTAACTGTGTTTATTAACCGATACCAATGCATGAAAGCCTGACATCCTGTTAAAAAATCCATTTGAACAATACTATTCACCTATCACGTCACAGACTATTTACCCATGTAACTACAGTAGTGGCCCTTGATACAGTTACTTTTTAACTTATTGCAGCTTTTCACTTGTTGGTTCATGAGATGATGAAAATGAAGAACTTTAATATGTAGTTTATAGCCTATAGTTGGTGAAAATGTTTAGAATGATGATACAGGCCCAGGTGCCACAGTCTACAGCCCTGGTGTATGTCTGAACACATAGCAAGCACAATGAAATGATCACACAAACTCATTCAAATTTGAGCAATTTGTAGAAAATTAAATTAAAATGCCCCACTAAAATGCGTGGTCATGGGTGGATGGTTATTTAATTAGTGGTCTGGCATCATGTTGACTCTTGTGGTTAGGTAAGAGTTATGTGCTTCAAGTTATTAAACACCTGCTTTCTGCTGTTCACATCAGATACTTGTCTGATTGGTTTTTCAGGTAAAGCCGTTGGCCAGCTTCCAGTCCCCACCCACATCAGACAAATCTGGTCTTTGATCCTCATAAATCTTTGCATAAAGCAGTTCTCTGTTTCTTGTAGAACAAGAAACTGAGGATATTTTTTTGACTAAGGCAATCTTCCCATTAGGTGACAAACATCATTTAATCTTTACAATTCTGTAAATCATGTATGTACCACTTACGTTTCCAGCCTTCCTTGCATATAGCACTTTCAGATGTATATTTGCTTCTCTCTTTCCAAATCACAAATGGTGATTTACCACACACCATTGATTTACCACACACTAACTTTTCTTCTAGATCCCTAAATAAGTCCTAACTTTGATTAATTTTGGCTTCCTGTTACAGATGATCTCTCTCAGATGGACCTGATCTTCTGACATATTACTAAGTCTTACCACTCTCTTTTCTCTCTTTCTTTGTTTTCTTAGGACTTTTGCCTAATGCATGTTCTCTTCATCGTTTCATAGTTTCATAGCAGCTAGGGTGAGGAGGGACCTTAACAGATCATCTAGCCTGACCCCTTGCCACAGGCAGGAATGAATGCTGCATTCACAAGACCCCAGACAGGTGATCATCCAACCTCCTCTTGAATTTGCCCAAGGTAGGGGCGAGGACCACTTCTTTGGGAAGTTGGTTCCAGATTTTGGCCACCCTAACTGTAAAATATTGCCTTCTGATCTCTAACCTAAACCTATTCTCCATCAGTTTATGACCATTGTTTTGTCTTGATTTTTGTCTTCTGATGGTTGTCCTATCCTTTAAATGTGACACCTTTCAGACCTGTTTCATGTTGGTATAATTGCATTGCCTTCTGTGTAAACAGTCCAAATTTATATCAGTATAACTGAAAGCAGAATTCCCCTTAAAACTTGCCTCTTCAGAATTTCCGCTCTTTAGGTATAAGCACCTGGTGTCATTTGTGTTAGTCCAGAACAACAGACCTACCATTTACACCTCTGGAAACAACTCTGTTAAAGTAAGGGGGATGACACCAGTGTTAAACTGGCATGAGGAAAACAGACTGACAACAGAAACTATCCCTGAACTGATGCGGTACTTTGCATGGGAAGAGAAGTTTGCTCACACTCAATCCACATTTCTCATGTGAATGGCAGTAGGAGCTAGGCAGAGCACAGGCATCCTTCTCATTTTAAAACTATATTACACCCCACCAAAACCTGAACTTCCACTAATATATCCTCATAATGCCTTTTGTACTAATTATTCTTTGGAGGAAGGCTGAACACTGCTAGATTAGACTGTCATGAGTCTGGTCTCATGACCAGTTCTGCTCTAAGGGCAATCTCTCAGGTCAGAAAGTACCCTCCTGTGATTTTCAACAGAGTATTTTCAGTACAGATTAGCTGAAATTTTAGGAACCGTCCTGTTTTTTTAAAGGTTTCCCTCTTTAACTAGAATGACACTCACAACATATTGCTACCATTATGGACCTTCACAACCATAATAAAGAAAGAGTATTTAAAATGCTATGAGGTCTATGACTTTTAAATATCTGGATGGGGCATTTATATCCCTCCTGCCTTAAGAATGGTAAAATGTTGGGTTTTGTTATATAAAGAAAGCACTGAACACCTTGGGTGTTCTTAGGAATAGGTAAGGTAAATACCCATTGGCAGCTTATGAGAACTGTGATAGAGCTTCTTTTTCAAATAAAATAATAATGATAAAACTCATCTACACATCTTTTAGTTGATCTTGTGGGAGCTGAGGATGTTCAACCCCAGGCAGGCTGAAAAGGAAAAGAGTGGTTTGATCCAAAAGCAGTATTTCCATCCTATGTTTTCATTCCAAAGCATTATGAACATTTATTTCTTTTAAAATGTTATATCAGAATAATACAAAATACAAGATAATTAATTTAGGGCCTAATAAGAATTTATCGTATAAACTGGAAGAAGAGCAAAATCCTAGGACATTTCAGGCAAGGTATTTCAAGAAGAGGTTGGGACATATTGCCTGGCATTATTACACTGCCATCTCTAATACCATGTACATTTCTGGTTTCCTAGAGAGATAGGTAATTATATATTTAGGGAAGATTAATTCAAACTGTAATTAATACAAAGAAGGGTTATGTGGATGATCAACTGGAATGGAAAGCATATTTTACAAGAGGAAACTAAAAGGCTTACTTAGCTTGGCAAAACAAAAGCTAAGGGGCTTTATACAAATATTGGAGCAGTAAACACAAGGGAGGAAGAAGAGCTATTGAAGCTAAAAGACAATGCTGGCATAAGAACAAATGGGTAGAATTTGGTTGTGAAATAAGTTTATGCTAGAAATTAAAAAGAGGCTTCTAATTAGCAGAGCAGTGAAGATCTGAAATAACCTACAAGAAAGAATAGAG